ACAAGCCGAATTCCAGGTACCACCAACAATACATACTCCTATCTGCGTAATACAAAACAAGAGCACGCATGCCCATTACAGCTGTTGGCTGACGCGGTTTTACAATACCATCCGTATCCGTTCTTATTTGAACAAGTGGAAATGCTATAAACACACCATACGAGTACTCGTATACCATATGGCATAACAATTACAGCAGTTGCGATTTTCGATTTCCTTTGTTACATGTTGCTTTGGTTTATATTTACAAATATTTTTGTGTGTTTACATGTTTTGATTTGAAATTGCCGATTTTCCTTATTTGTTTATTATGAATATCTTAATTTCGCGTATTAAAATAAACCACTGTATCGAAGCCAGAATAACAAAGCAATGCAATAAATTAAAAAAAAAAATAAAAAAAAATTGAAGGAAATAAACGAAACACTTTCGGTGCTTAAAAAACAACATCATTAAAATGTGAGAGTGCAGCAATGAATATGCGATTATGACAATCTGCACTCTCCACTGCATTATTTATATATTCAGAAATACCGGTTTTTTATGTCAAAATATAAATTTTACTTCAGCACATACGATATATCAATCGCTATAGCCGTGTGGTCCTAGTCCTAGTCCAATCTACATCCAAAAAATTATAGAAAATTAATTTAAACGAATAATTGGGATAAATTATCTATTTACGGTCGCCCGTCGGCATGGAATGCCAACTACTCCGAGTGTATTTCTGACATGAAATAAGCGCTCCTCATAAGAATCCATCAGCCGTACGCATGCGCCTTAGTATAAACTGTAGGTCCCTCCAATCGTTAGAAAAACATCATAACGCAAACCTCAAATAGGAGGGGGAGCTCGTTCGAAAATCGCTTCAACGTTTACAAAGCGCAAAAAGAGGCATTCGCAGAAACAGTTTCCACAACCATCCAACGAAATTTTCATTGGGTATTAAACCTTCATTGAGGAATAGCCACATTGTGATTTTCAGCCGGTTTGCGCTGAGAGAGTCTCCACGTTTGAATGTTGGTTTGGTATTGAAAGGATCCAAAGGTCTACTTCAAGTCTGAGTACACTTTTGCAGAGTTATCAAGTTTAGACATAACGGCCTAGTTGCAACTCGTTTTCCTGCTATTGAGGGCTGCTTTAAAATCGATAAAAAGGTGGTATGTGTCTACACCTTTCATTTCATTCAATTTGCATATGTATTTATTGAGTCTACAATTTTATAAAGCTTTCAGCTAGTGGCGAGCAAATATTAAATATAGGGTGCGCCAACAAGACCTTCGGTATTTCAACATTAAGGAACTCTGATATTTTCAAGCCGATTCTGACAAATGAGCAAGATTTGTTTAGGATATACTTTGCCGAGGCAGTTTTCCAACCATTTATAAAATCATCGGACAACAGCGAACATGCAAGAGGTCTTAAGTGAATTCTCAAGTGTCATTTTTCCAAGATTTGGTGCATGATTTATATATGTTCTATGTGGATCTTGTAGGTCTGAAGCCATACCGAACAGATCGGGAGAGTCGGTTTCATTCTTTCATGCAATACCTTAGGTAAGACCTCATATGCGTTCTTGCGTTATTCCCGCTATAATTGATACAGACTATTGTGTACATCTACTTAAGTGGTCTAAAGTTCCAATTGCTGAGCATGCTTTCGGCCAATAATATTCTGCACAGAAAATAGTGGATATGTATTTTCAGTTCTTCATATTTGTGTAGCTCAGCCGGAAAACCACCATTTGTTCCACCGCTTTGTAGCTCTTCAAGTGTTGTTACATTTCCACTGACATTCAGCAGGCTAGAGATATATTTCCCCTACAAAGTCAATATGCTCCCCAAATGGGTTGAGACTAATCGACTTCGCCCGAAATATGGTTGAATGTAGTACTAGATTCCAGCACAAGAAAATTCATCAAGCTACTTGCCTGTTTCCAGATCGATGAGCTTAAAACTAGATCGAAGCCAAAACCCCATATTACGAGGTTTGAATAGCGATTACCGGTTTAAGCACAACAAAACAGAGCTATTCAAACATGGTGGTGAAAAGCTGACAAGGTGCATGCATCAGCTTCTTCACAAAATATGGTGCGATGTAAGCATGCCCGACAATTGGAACCTAAGTGTACTCTGTCCAATATACAAAAAGTGGTATGCCGTGTGAAAGACTGAAGCCTACCGTCAACAAACTTATTGGACCTTACCAGTGTGGCTTTAGACCTGGTAAGTCAACTATTGACCAGATATTCACCATGCGCTAAATCTTGGAAAAGACCCGTGAAAAGAGGATCGTCACCCACCACCTCTTCGTCGATTTTAAAGCAGCCTTCGACAGCACGAGAAGGAGCTGCCTCTACGCCGATAAGTCTGAATTTGATATCCCCGAAAAACTTATACGGCTGTGTAAACTGACGTTAGGCAACAGCAAAAGCTGCGTCATGATCGGAAAAGACTTCTCTAAATCATTCGATGCCAAATGAGGTTTTAGGCACGATGATTCCTTTCGTGTGACTTTTTCAATCTATTGCTGGAAAAAATAGTACCGAGTTGCAGAAAGTTGCCGAAAAAGTAAAATCTTCTATAAGAGTGTGCAGATTCTGGCCTACGCCGGCATCATTTGTCTCAACAACCGCGACGTGAGTTCTGTTTACTCTAACTGGATTAGGATACGAAGCGTATGGCTCTGTTAGTGAGCGAGGGCAAGACGAAATATATCCTGTTATCAAACAAACAGTCATCGTAGTCGTAACTCGGCTTCCATGTCACTGTTAACAGTCTAAACTTTGAAGTCGTAAATAATTTCGTCTATTTTAAAAGCAGTGTTGCCACCAACAACAATGTCAGCATCGAAACCCAACGCAGTATCACTCTCGTCTACAGGTACTACTTTGTGCGGAAGAAACCCCAGGTTTGTCCCGAGGAGGTGATCGCAATGAGCTAGCGAGATCTTGTCCTTTGGAGCCACGTGAAAAACAAGGTCTACGTCAACAGGCTAACGTCGCTTCAAGACGTCAAAGATAAAATTCGTAAAGATATTGAGGGCATACAGCAGCCACCTTCCGATTTGGTGAAGGAAAATTTCATAAAAAGAAAAAGGTTCTGTAAGAGTAGCCGTGTCGGGTCGTGCCCAGGTGTTTCGATGGCATAAAGAGTTTAAGGAGCGGGAGGCTAGTCGAGGTGCAGTGCAGGTAAATCAAGTCTCCTATGGCAAAGTACTCAAAAGATTGCGAAAACGAGTCAACAGGTTGCACACAGACATCGCCCGTAACTGGAGCCATACCGCCCTCAGCATGTCCCAGTATTTGTCCTCTAAAGGGATCGCCGTATTGCAACAACCGCCTTATTTGCCCGATATGTCACCATGTGACTTTTTATTATTCCCTAGCAGAAAATCGGTGGTCACCATTGAGTGTTACCCATTTTGAGTCGATTAAGGACAGCCAGGCGTTCTGCCCTGGATTTCAAGGCTGACGTTATTATTGATGTTAATGCTGGTCACTACATAGACGAAATTATCTACGACCTCTAAGTTGTGACTGTCAACAGTGACGTGGGAGCCAAGTCGCGAATGCGATGACTGTTTATTTGATGACAGGAGATATTTCGTCTTCGCATCGCTTCTTTATCAAGGCTGGAGAACGCAGAACTAACGGCGCGCTTGTTGAAGCCGATAATCTCAAGTTTTGCGGGGAGACCAAATTCACACATATTGGCGAATAGGTAGGTTATTGTGGTGCTTTCGACGAAAAGGGTCTAAAACCACACAGATAACGTTCGATCAGTTTGTTGACGGTGGGCTTTAGTCTTTCACACAAAACGCTCGATAGGACCTTATATGCGATATTAAAGAGGCTGTCCCACGGTAGCTGGCGCAGACTGTGGGATCACCCCTTTTTGTAGATTGGGCAGAGCACACTTAGGTTCCAACCGTCGGGCATGGTTTCGTCGGACCATATTTTGCAAACATGCTGAGGCATGCACCTTGTCAGCTCTTCACCACCATGTTTGAACAACTCTGCCTGTAGATCGTCAGTTCCAGCCGCTTTGCTGTTTTTTAAGCTGGCAATCGAATATCGACATGGTCAGGTAGGGGAATATCTGTTCCATTGTCATCGATTAGGATTTCGGGTTCACGATCTCCGGGTGTTTAATTTTCACTGCTGTTCAGCAGGCTGGAGAAGTGATCCCTCCATAAGTTCAGTATACTCTGAGCATACGTCACTAGATCAGCCCTCTGGCTCCTACAAGAGGTTGCTCCGGTCTTGAAACCTTCTGTAAGTTTCCATATCTTTTCGTTGAATTTTCTCAAGCCCTTCATACTCACGCATTTCAGCCTATTTCTTTTCTTTTGTCTGCAAATGCGTTTTGCTTCTCTGTTCAGCTCAGGTTGCGAGGTAGGTAGTGTGTTTTCTCTCTTGGTACTGCGGAAAACCAATTGTCTCCGAAGCGACAGTTCCCTTATACCAAGTTACTGATTAGTGCTCTCAGAAGGCAGGTATGCAAGCCGAGAAGGAACCGCTCAGTAGTCTAATGTGATTGCAGCTTTTCGATGTCGAACCTTCCTTGTGTTTGTTTACGAACGTTTTTTGATAACAGAGGCGTGTGCATATCTTCGCTGCAACAAGATAGTGATCCGAGCCTAAGTTGTCTTTGATGTGCAACATCGTCCTTCTCTTCAGAATCAGCGATATGTTAAACAATTTTGCTTTAATACGGATTGTGGCGAGACGTTCATTCACTGGAGTGAATGCCACGACACAAGGACCCATCTCGCTCTCTTGGGCGGCGTTGATGTCAGCCTTTATTTTAATTTGGACATCTACCAGCTGGACAGCAGCACCTTCCCAATTAAGGAACCGGACATTCCAGGTGCATGCCCTCAAACCGTAATCCTTAGAAAATTTTCGGGAGTCTTCGTCACAAGAGGGTATCTCATCCAAGGCATAATACAATTTTTAATTGGAGTTTATATAATATTTCATATGGTGGGTGCCAAGCCCTACGCAAAACAACATGAGACTCGCCTTCTCTCTTTAGCTCGCCTCCAAACGAATGTTTGTTGTCTCCCCAGCGGGATACTTGGTCTAAGACCGGAAGTCATGAGCTGCTTGCATAATATAAAAAAAATAATCGTTTCTGACCACTCCGAAGTGAATGGCAGTCAAAAGCCAACTCATTCTTTATTCAGACCGATAGTTTTAAAACATACTTATATAATACAAAAGACCGTAAACGTAATTACAATTAAATTACAATTCAATCGTCAGATAAATATCTTGAACTGATTTATACCATTTACCTTTGTGATAACTCATTAATAAAAGAAATAAAAAATTTATAATTATTAATTTTTTTAAATATTAATATCAAAATTTGTTTGTTGAACTTCGTAAAACTTATTATTACAATATTGTCAATTGATTTTATCCTTTTTCTATACTACTGTATTTTTATACCTTTTACAAATACAAACTTAGTTTTTTTACTTCTCAGATTTCTCTATATATCCCATATCGACAAGTGTTTGCATTGTTTCAGCAAACTCCTTATCCAACAAATAAACACTCAACTCTTTATCGTTAATTTTTTGCACAACTTTCACTTCAACACGTTGGTTCAATAGCGCGACTACTAACATTTGCACGGCTTGTTCAAATAAAATATCATTACCGTTAGTAATATCGTTTATATCAGCAAAATGACAGAGAACTGCACGAAATGGTTCATTATTTTGGTTATCATTAATTTTAGCCATGTTATGAATTGGTACTTTTTCTGAATTGCCATAATCCACATAAAATACCTATATAAATACATATAATTATTACAATATAATTCCATTATTTTTTTTTTTTTTCGTTCACCTGGAAAACATCATCATCAACTCGAGCAATTACTTTGGCACGGTACCAAAATTGATCTTTTGCATATTGCGCTAATATCAAATCACCAACTTGAGGTGATTTAGTTAACTTCTGTTCTGCAGATATTTCTTCAGTGTTCCAAAAGAACAATTCCAATTGTTCCGACTTATCCTTTAGTATTTGTGCGTAAAAACAATTTGGTCGAGAAATATGTATAACTTCCAAGCAAATAATATCGTTTTGCGAAATCTCATCAATGCGAGACGTTAATAGAAATCTCAAATTGTTATTGCTACCGAATTTCGCTGCTTGCGGTTTTGTAGAGTCGGAAATGATATTATCTTCAGATAAATTCAAAAACGGGTTCTTTGCGGAATTATCAGTCTTTTTTATCTGAATAATTTAATTATTATAATTTAAAATAAATATTTGAAAGAAAAATTTAATAAATGGAGTAAACTACCTGTGGTGAGTTATTTACCACTTGTCGATTCTCAATAATGTATACATGTAAAACTCGTCCAATTTGCTTTATAATTTCAAAATTTAACTCTTTGAATTCATAATGCCTAAGTTTGTTACTTAAGATATGTTTATTCGTTTCTTTAACATTGTTTCTTGTATTTTTAACGCCCAATAAAATGCATTTCATGGCCTGTGCGGGTAAATCTCGATATATTTTAGGTAAATCATAGAACTGCACTTCATTGCTATTTAATGGCACTAACTCTCCATAATCTATAAGTAGCACATGTGTACTCTCTTGGGTTTCATCGCACGGAGACTGTAGGACTCCACGCAGTATGCTCTTACTGTTAATAGATATGCCAAAAATTAAGTTGCTTGGTGGTACGCGAACACTTTTGTTCAAATTAAACATATTGCTCAATTCGTAAAGCATATCGTTATGCATCTGACAAACATAGAAACTTAATTCTTCTTTGTTATCAATATATGTTATAAATGCTGAGAAATTATAACCAGCAATAAAAGCAGACAAATCACGCAAATGCACACATGGCGGCAGGGATTCAATTGTTAATGATTCCGGCTTGGCAAAAGTTATCTTGCGTGCCGTTTGCAGTGCGTCTTTATCAAAGACTTTTTTATTGGAATCTAGCAGCGCTTTCGTCGGCAGTATATTTTCTTCGTAATTCTCTTCTAAACGACGGCTTTGATTCCTCCTAATACTATATTGGACAAACTCATCATTATCTTTTAATACTTTATGCCACTCGACAAATTCCTCAAATAAACACGAGACAGGTTCCAGGCCAACACCGTAACCGATATCTTTATTCAAAATTTTATTTACATTGTGTAGTTGCAAATGGATGTTGAATTTCCTTGCTAAATTTGTCACTGCGGCAACACGAGACATGTATCGGTCGTAGGCAAGTAAGGCAAAAACATTTGCATGTGTTTTGTGATTGGTATTTTTGCAAATATTCTTAAATATATCATTTTGTATGATAACTTCGGAATCAAGCAAAAATTTAGTTAAATTTGCTTGTAGCAATTCCACTTCACGTCTGCACATCAGTAACATTGTTTGCATACGATCTACATCTGCACGAAAAGCCATAACGGGTTTGGGTAGTAAAATCAATACAAAAATTTAAATTGATTTAGTTCGAAATATAATAAAAATGCAATTAATTCACAGATTTCGGCTTGATTGTTAAATGAACAAATTGAATACAACTTCCGTTATACTCTTGTTTATAGCGGAACTTTACCAACAGAGTTGCCAAGCATGAAATACCCTATGAAGAACCGAAATAACGTTTAGTAACTTTTAATGAATAAAAATATTTGAAAATAAACCATTTACTTTCTTACGTGCTTCATGATTTTGTAAAATAGGAATGGTTTTAAATGTAACCCATGAATTACAACAAATCTAACATTTGTTTTGATGATTATTATTTTTATAGTTGGGATCATCTGTTATTTTGAAGTGTTTTTGACGTTATGGAGGAAAATCAAAATTTCGATTGTACAGTATGATTTATCGTTATCAACCAATACATCGGGAAATTTCTTTATTCTTCGGCTTTTTTAAGAACCGTTTTTTATTCTAAATGTTTTCTAACTCAGTGAATTCAGTTACATCAATAGAATTAATATTAATCTTTGCAATCGAATATACTTAAATAACAAAAAAATTGTTGATTCAAAAGTTTCGTTGCTTAAGAAGAGATTATAGTGCACATAAAAGACCAAATACTCAATCTATTTGAAAAATTTTACGGATATTATAGGCTCACTATGTAAGTGAAACTATAGCCTCGGCTCTTCGGCTAAATTCCATATTCATTTAAGATCCAGCTCACTCTGGGAGGGGCTCCGAAAATCGAAGAGGTCATAATTATTTCAAATGCTTTGGATTCGAAACCATAAAATGAACGACTATGTGTTAAACCCATGGTGAGATATACTTATTTTTTGGTCCAGTTAGTAATTCTTTGCCTCGCTTTCGCCAATAAAATACAAAATTTTCTTTAATTACGCTTTATTATTATATATTTGCTCTTAAATGAATTCTTCTTTAACGAAGTGTTTTAAATAAAATATATTCATGTTTAATTTCTACTCTTTATTTAAGTAGTGACTCCACATACATTATAGTTGGTCCGCAAAGAAGCATACCAATTTTAGTAAAAATACTTAATATTTAATATCTTATCGTCCTTCAACTGAAATAAATTAGAAGGTATAAATTATTAATTTTATAGTCGTTTACAAGTAAAAACAAATTAAATACTTACTATACGAGGATAGATCAATCTCATCTGGCAATTCAGTGATATTAACGTCAAATCTGTCTTGGACTTCATTTAAAATTTTAGCATCTGCCTCATCCGAAACAAAGGTAATAGCTAAACCTTTGGTACCGAAACGTCCAGCTCTTGCCACACGATGCAGATAAGTGTCCGAGTCCTCTGGCATATCATAATTGAACACAATGTTGACACGTTCTATATCCATGCCACGTCCAAAAAGATTTGTGGCCACCAAAATACGCTTCTGGAAATCCTTGAATTGTTGATAACGGTTTAAACGCTCCTCTTGTGTCATGCCACGATGTATGCCAATGGCGGGGAAGTTTTGTTCGGTTAATAATTGTGCTAGTGCCATACAACGTTGAACAGACTTAACAAAAATTACAACCTATAAAGAAAATGAATTAAAATATCCATTTCGCATTACAAATCTGCATTCAATAGCATACTTGATTAAATTCGAGAACATCCAATAATTCAAATAATTTCTTGTTTTTCTCGTTCTCCTTTAATTTCACATAATGTTGTTGTAGACCGTGCAAAGTAAGCTTTGCTTCGTCATCCACATATACCTCCATCGGCTGTAATAGAGAATTAAATAGAACACATTTAAAACTTACAATATTTGAAAACCAGTATAATTATGAATCATCTGCCACTTTTCAGCGCAATATTCCAATTCCAGCCGCTGAATCGTAAATATACAATACAGATGAGGCTTCTTTAAGCATATTCACTGACGTCCAATATTAGACATAGCAAATTTAGTTTCATTTATATGCTATAATTACATACGGCCTCACAACCACCACATCTCATTAGCTTCGAAACAGGCTACTGGCGCAGTTGATGCACGCACACAGTGTTTCTCCCACAGAAAGTTTTAGAGCTATATCCCTTTGGTATTCGGCTTAGTGATGCATTCCCAAAACATTATACCCTTTTCAATGCTGTATAAGCGAGTAGGTTAAGCAACATTCATTCCCCCTTGTGAATGATCGATTGATTAATTGTGTTGTATGTTGGAACGTATAAAATTACGTCGCTAAGACTCCACGCCGCTTTACAAAACGACTGATCGTTATTAATAATTTGGAATATTTCGTTTACAATATCCAGCAAAAATCGAAATATTATAGTTAATAATTGTTTCTTTTTTACAAACAACCGTTTTGATCGGTTTCATTTAAGTTATACATGCTTTTATATTATTGGCTAATTTTTTTATTTTATAGTTGTGTTTTGAAAATGACTTCACGTTTATGAATTTTTTCAATTGTTTAATGGTGTAGTGGTGTTTATGTTGTGGCAGTTCAGCAATTGATATAAAGCTTAGTGGGATAACTAGTAGTAGTAGTAGAACAAGAAGAATGGACACGGAGATATTTACATCTTGCATGAATTTTTTGCATACTGGACGTATTTCCTTGCTTAAAGTGGCGGAAAACATCATGACTTGTTTTCCATGCGGAGTGCTGCGGAAAATCTCCTGGACATCACGACGCATATCTGTATTGGGGGAAAAAAATAATAAAGATATAAAAATATGTTACACAAATGGTCTAATACATATAACAAAATAAATCAATTAACTCACCGAGTTGTTCCAACATTTTGTCACACTCGTCAAGAATAAAGTGTTTCAAATGCTTCAAGTTGAGTTTTTTGTTGCGTATCAGTGCAAGTATGCGGCCAGGAGTGCCTACAACGATGTGTGGCGTAGTACCCTTCAAAGATTCCTCATCTTTTTGAATAGATAATCCGCCAAAGAATACACCAACCTAAAAAAAAATAATAATGGTTTTTAATATAAACAATGGAACTTGTTAAATCTCCTTATTGTGTTTACCTTCACAGCCGGCATATATTTAGAAAATCTTTCGTATTCTTTGCTTATTTGGAATGCTAATTCACGAGTGTGACACATAACTAGTACATAAACCACATTTTCGGTCGGCTCAAGTTGTTGTAAAGTGGCAAGCACAAAAACAGCAGTTTTACCCATACCCGACTTAGCCTGGCAGAGAATATCCATACCTAGCACAGCCTGGGGTATACATTCGTGTTGCACTGCAATAGATATAAAATTTATTTTATATGTAAAAAAAAAATGTTATGTTTTCTTTAATTAAATTATATCAATGCCCTCAGCTATTAATTTGATAAATCGATCACTGTTTTTCAGATGTCCCTATCATAGATATCTTCATAGATGGCATATAGTATTATATTTACTATTGTAGTTGTAATAAGAAAAGTGTACCTTCTGATGGATGCTCAAAACCGCAATCAACTATTGCACGTAAAATTTCTGGCTTCAAAAGAAAATCACGAAAGCCAGAGCTGTGGATGGACACGTATGTGCCTTTCACGTCCTTTTTTGGTGCCTCAGGGACTTCAGCGACCGTAGTCTCGGTCTGCTCTTCGTCTTCATAATCCAAAAGATCATCATTATCAGCCATATTTGTTTAGTTTAAAAGCGACTCCTATGAATAGAGTAAATGTAAAAAAAAAAAGTGAGGTTATTTCAGTATTCACATTCATCGGCAAAATCGAAGCGACAGATGTGACGCCGCCATTTTCTTTTTTTTTATATGGGGTCAAATATGTAAACTTCACTTTTATCATTATGTATTTATTTAATATAACTTTTTCAAAGTATTCTTTGTTATTACCGTTTGTAGAAAGAAATCAAATTGGATTTAAGTATTTCACAATTTTTTCCAATTTTTAAGAAATTGCAAACGCGCGTCACACTTTTTCTCTACTCGCACAATTTTTGATGAATCTTAAATTTCCTGTGCTGCCACATCGAGAGGGAAATATTACCGGTTGACTTATATTCGCGCGGGATTTCATGCTTGTATTATAAAGTAGCAGAAAAATATTTTTGCATATAACACCTTGTTAAGAGAGGACAATTCGGTTGTCGAAAGAACATTGTAATGTTAAGGAGACAAACAACAAATAATTTTGACGTGCAATAATAATTCCAGTAGTATTTTTATTTGCTTTATGTGAAATTGGGGTAGGAGTTTAGATTCTTCTCAGGGTGTATACGTGTCTTTTCATCATTCATTGCCTGGAAACTATAGGATAGACCTGTTTGCATTCTGGAAGTAATAGCAAAGAATGTACACGAATCCTGGCCCTCATAATGGCAGTACGGCCATTTTAAATGATTATGTTAAGAAATTAAAGTGCTCAAATACAAAAATTGATCAATTGAGCAATTATCCGTGAAAATGACAGTTGGTAGGCAATCGATGATCATGATTTGGAAATGGAGGGGAAAAGTGAAGTTTTTACTTTTTTCTTTTTTTTTTATATGATTTGAAGTGGATATTGTCAAAATTATTTTTTACTTTATATTTACGTTCCACTTGATTTTCCATTTACAAAAACGAAAGTGTTTAAAATTGGAATATTTTGTTATGGTTTGTACGAAAAAGTATCTCTCGTTCCATACATTTTCTTTCATGCGTTCTTAAAAGCCAATGAATTTTCAATAATTTTGCCACGGTCAAGACAAAACACATGGTAATTTTTGTATTTGCTCTCCTGGCCTCACCTCTCTAAATTCGTCTTTGGTTCCCAAGTAAGCTCTTGGCATGCGCCTATTTCTTTGCAGAGAACGTAAATACAATATTGTATTTACGTTCTCTGATTATAGGGCTAAAATTTGTACATTTCAGCTGTATAAATCAGCTGCCATTGTTTACAGTAAAACACACACAAATATACTCTTATAGATTTGCTAGCCGGTTCATACAGGAAGTCCGAAAGCGTTTTGTTCAGGAGTGGGTGGTTTGCCTGGTTTGATGACGTATTCCGACTTAGAAATTCTTTGTGAATAACAAAAGACAATTAATCAATATTAAAGTTGCAAAATCGATTCGGGTTGGGTTTTCAACATGACCACTACTGCCACATATATTGCTGTAATAACGGTATTGTTGATCAGTACTTCTTTGATTGAGGCAACATTATACCCAAGAAAGGGAGGACGTGTTCCGAAAACAAAACCGGCTAAACCTTTAAATTTACTGGCTGGACCACAAGATGAGTCGGTGTTCGATCGAAAGTTAATAAATATGCGTCCACATCCACAAGAAATATTAGAAAGCAATGCAGCATATTACAAGGATACAACGTTGAGAAACTTTAACGGTACAGTCCTTGGCTACGTAACAGCGGTAATATACTAAATTTTCTGTGATATAAATATTTCTATGTTTATCTGTTGCAGTGGAACTCACATGGCTATGATGTGGCAAAAATTTTTGCGCGGAAATTCGATATTATATCACCGGCTTGGTTTCACATAATTAAAGATGGTGATGAATATAGGCTAACCGGTGTACATGACATTGATGGAAATTGGATGCGTGAAATACGGCACAATGGAAAGAAAGAACGCGGCACACTAAAGGGTCGGTATTTTATGGCATCTGCTTGCACAAAATGTTAATTCCCCCTCTTTGCTTACAGTTTTCCCACGTTTCTTATTTGACAAATTCACAGAACGCGACTTTTCGCGTTTGTTGAGCTTCGAAGTTGAAAGAATACGTCTGAATGAAATGTTGATAAACAGTTGTAAAAAATACAAATTCGATGGTATTGTCCTGGAATTTTGGACGCAACTTGGGGGTCGGGTAGACGACAAATTTCTCATCACATTGGTGCAGGAAATGAGTAAATATTTATTAAAACATATTTTAACTACACTTGTACACTATTGTACTAAATTTTCTATTAAGGCGATGCAATGAAAAAGGAAAACTTACGCTTAATACTTGTTATACCACCCTATCGGAAGGAAGTACCAAATTTATTTACTGATAAACATATAAATCAACTATATAAACATGTATATGCTTTCTCGCTGATGACCTACGACTATTCGAATGCACAAAGACCGGGTATATATTGGAAATTAATGAGGAGCTTAATTTAAATTTACTATAATTTTTGTTTTTCTTTTAAGGTGCCAACTCGCCGTTATACTGGGTACGTCAGTCGGTGGAATTATTAGCACCACCTGAAACACATGATATTAAAACGAAACGGCGGAAAATTTTATTAGGTCTCAATATGTATGGCAATGATTACACACCGGACGGTGGTGGTCCAATTGTAGCCGGGCAGTATTTGGAACTTTTAAAATTTATGAAAAAGCGTTTGGCCTACGATGAATTAGATGTTGAAAATTATTTCGAAATCAAGTAAGTATTACAATGGACCTTACCAAATTAATATTTATAAGTAATTTGTCTACAGAGCCGATGATGGTCGACATATAGTTTTCTATCCAAGTCTATATTCAGTTCACGAACGTATTAAGCTTGCCCAAGAATTGGGTACTGGCATATCTATTTGGGAATTGGGTCAGGGTTTAGATTATTTTTATGATCTATTTTAGTGCTGTTTAATGTTAAACGAAAATGAATTTATAAGCAATATTATTTTGATAATAAGCAAATTTTCCCGCTTAACAAAGATTTGTAAAAAATGCAAAATATGTACATTCCTAAAATATATATTCACTTAAGCACACAAATAGAAAAATGCGGATTCAATATTACCAATAAATTATGAAACGACATTAAAAGACTCTTACTCATAATCTCAATATTTTTTTTTTTTAAATTAATTTATATATGTATGTATATATATTATTATTTTTTAGTATTTATATATTTTTTAATTTAATGTAATTCCGAATGAATTTTTTTACAAAATCCTAAATAACCTAATTTATATAATTATTTTAAATTAAACTAATTCAATTGAAATTCGCCTAAATGTATGCAACGTTTTCCTGAAAAGTTGTAGAAAAGAAAACGAGAACCCTTTCTTGATTTATTCTGTATTCCTCCCTTTCCTTAAACTAGATTTTTAAAGTTAATATGTACAGCAGCTTTTATTTATTTTTCTTTTCTTTTCATAACTTTCGGTTCTTGCTTGACCCTGCTATAGCCTATTTGTGGCAAGAAAATTACTGTTCCCTCTTCAACGGTTCAGTATAAACAAGTAGTTTTTCTGTTTGAATTTCGTTTATTTACTTTCATTTTGTATGTATTTGTAGAAATAGGCTTAAGAACCTTTCAGTCTGTATTGATTTGAAGCATGTAAAATAAATCAGATTGGATCATAATGCGGGAAGATAAATAATACATAATAATTATGAAGAAATTGCGCATTCTGTAATTAAAAATATGTATGAATATGTACAAATTACATACATATACCTAAATGAATATGGGTTTTGTAGTTTAATTGCAATACAGCATATAATACATAAATACGATAAAATTAGCGTTCGATAAAAAACTTAATTCTAAGCAAGCAGAAAAACATAAATGTATCTAAGCAACTTAAATATACATAGTATTATATATTAGAGACTACGCAAATTCTTATGCTACACAAATGCTATGACGCCGGTGTTGTTTGCCACTCTAGCATTTTCATATAAAGCAATACTAAATTATTGAATTTTTATCAGCGAGTTCAGCTTTTCAATTTGTTTTTCGTACAAAGACTTCAGTTTGGGCTACAACATGCATTTTACCAGCGCCACAGTTATTTTTCTTTGCTGTATACTTTTATAAACCTAAATTATATATTTAAATTAAAATACGTATGATGCATGTAAATTTTTTTTAAACACATTCCCAAAATCTACGTTTTTATATTCATTATTATACTTTTGTTCGGCCGCCACTTTGTTCTTTCAGTTCCCAATATCCTGTTATTGGGCCGTTCAATGCCGCTTCAAACGGATATTCGTAGAACTTCGCTACCACTGTTGTTGTTGCTGCCGGGATTTGTATTTGCGTTAGCGCCCTTACAATTCCCCACTACCGCATTCAATTGGCCATAGTCTGTGAGCATTTTGAATAGTTGCTGTTGCTGTTTCAACAACTTTTGCTGTACATGTGGTTGTTGTTGTGAACGTTGTTGTTGATGGTGCTGCTGCTGCTGACGGCTATTACGCGCCATGTCATAGAGTTTACGGCGGCGTTCGTAAAAGTGAGCGACGCGTTCGAGCTTCAATTGATCGTCTGCACTGGCTGTGTTGTAGTTAGTGGTGAGGCTGGCGTTGTTGGTGACAGCGTCATGGTTATTATTACCGCTGTTACCATTAGTGCCGACCTCGGCGTTTTGTGCGGACGATGGTTTTTGCTGCTTGCTACCGTTGTTGTTGTTATTATTACTAACACCACCCAAAAAATCAGCAATCTGACGTGGTGAGAACTTTTGCCGCTTGGCGGTATCTAATCTACTGCTGTTGTTGTTAGTATTGTTGCTATTGGTGAGCGGCATGCAGCGTTTAATGAATTTAACACGATCATTGCCATTCATCGACGTATTGTTCCCAATAAAAATCGTCTTATTGCTTTGTGCCAGCACAGGGCCCGCGGTGCTGGGACGTGGTGGTGGCGGTAAGCGACTAGTGGGTGCGACTATGGCTATAGGTGCGCCAGTTTGAGATTTACTACGCACAAGTGTAGCGCCGCCACAAGAGGCACCAACGCTGCCGGCAGCTGGCGACGCTGAATTTCCGGATTTGGTGCGCGAACGTTGCAAGGTTGAGACCGGTGACATGGCCGATCCGCAGCCATTGGAATTGGTATTGAAAGTTATTTCTACATTACCACTATTACCACCACCACTGGTATTATTGCTTCCAGCGTTTTGTTGCTTCTGATGTGCTGCATATAAATTGTTTTGGGAAGACGATGAGTTCGTTATGGTAATACTGCCAATCGAAAACTCATTACCGCCCAAAGAGTTGGACGTTGAAGTTAAGTTTGAGAAATAATTTTGCATCGACTTTGTGTTGCTGGTCAATCGCGCAGATGTGGAAGAGTTCGAACACACAATACCGTTAATGCCGCCGCCACCGCTCAGTGTAATGGGACTGTTGTTGGCTTTGCGTGCATTTAAAATGTGTTTTCTAAATGTTGTTGCTGCAGCGAATGGCAATTTGACCAGACCAAAGCAATTCACAGCACTCGGCTTGGGTACACCTGGGTAGAGATAGGTGTTCAAATAACCGTCATCATAGTATTTACCGCTGTTGCTGGCACTAATATTGCCCTCGGTTTTAATGGCTTTTGAGTTGCTGCCGCTGCCGCTGCCGCCGCTGGAACTGCTGCTACCACCAGCACTACCACTGCTGCTCAACGTTTTATATGTTTCCATCAGTGAGTAATCGAAATCGAGTAAATCCTCATCAACATCAGCAGCACTTTCCTCTTTCGTCATAGTAGCGTTACCACCACTATTTTGTGGTTGCAATAATGTTGCGCCATCGGCATGCGTTGCATCCAAAGCCGTAGGACCAGTGGTGACGTTCATATCGGTTGTTACCTGTTCATAGTTGGCTTGTGTTAAGAATTCATTTAACATTTGTTGCTGTCGCTGCTGGCTAATAACAGCTACTTGATTATTATCGGTTATTTCATATATTAAGTGATCCTCCCCGGCACCACCCGGGAGCACGTATTGCTGTGTGCCTCGTTGCATACCGTTCACAATGTTGGGCATTAGCATGCCACCTTCATTGTCAGTATTTACCTGCTCTACCACTGCGTCTGCATTGTCATCTGTGAGTGAGGGCACATTGCAGAGCTGGAAGTGCGATGCCATATTGTCATAACAGTTATCATATGCGGCAGCTGTAAATTCGCTCATTTTATTTGGTTTCATGTCCACAGTGGCGCACATCTCCATCAATTGTTTTGCACTAACCACGCCACTTTGATCATATTGCTGTTGTTGTTGCTGTAAAGCTAAAGCATTTGGGTCTGTAGTGTTGTCAATCATGTTAGTGTCATAGTGGCTATTTATTGTTTGTTGTTGGTAGAGCAGTTGCTGCAATTGCATGGCATCGATAGCAGTAAGCTGTTGTTGTTGCTGCTGCTGTTCTGTGCCATGTTGCAAAAGTGTCTGCATTTGTTGTTGATGCGGTTCCACCAACTGTCCTGCACTATTGAACAATTTCAAATCTTCCAGCGTCGTCACATTATAGGGTACATACTGCTGTTGTTGTTGTTGATGCTGCTGCTGCTGCTGCTGTTGATAGGTGACAAATTCACCCGTTATTTCAACACTCGAATGTGTCTGTTGTTGTTGCAATATATGTTGCTGTTGTTGCTGTTGCTGCCCATTAGCCAATAAACTCTCATCATAGCGCATGCGCTTGGCCGAATGTGACACCTGTTGCTGATACACTTGATGTTGTTCTTGCACCTGTTGCTGTTGTTGTTGTTGCTGCTGCTGCTGTGCTACAGTTGCCCTATCCAATTCATTCTCATCGAACTGTATATCCGTATCAGCCGTGCTAAGTATTTCATTGATAAATTTACTATCGAACATATCATCAAATGTTAAAATGGAATTATCATCTGAGGCGTTATGCGGTAGTGGCTCCTCACAGTTTTGTACCACGTCCTGTGATACTACATAGTTTGCTGGCAACACCGTTTGAACATTCATGTTGTTGTTGTTCGATGATGTAGGCATCATAGACACAGTCTGCAATTTTTCCTTGCTATTATCAGCAATTATGGTGGTAGTAGGAATTTGGAAAATATTGTTGGTGCCAGCTGCTACAATATTGGCATTGCCCTCCATGATATTTTTAATACTAACATCGACTTTTTTGTCGGCTAATTTAGTAGTGTTTTCAGTTATTGAGGATACTGCGTGATCGAGTTCAGTTAGCCGTGCTGGTTCAAAGCGACTCATTTCTTTGCTTACAGCAGCTTTCGAGGAGTCTCTTGAAGCCAGCGTAGAAGAAATACTGGCAATCGTCTTTGTAGTTTTCCCCGAAGCATTCGTTGCTAATTTGGCTGATAAAGATTTGCCAGTGGAGGTTAAACGTTCAAAATCTATGCTAGAACTAGAAACTGACGACTCGGCAGATTCTTGTGCAACGAAAGCAGGGCTTTTTACCTATGATTAAAGGAAAAAAATATAATTGTATTCAAAATGAAATAATTTTTTTTTTTGTAATATGAACACATAGAAAAACCTAAATTCCACCTACCTCAGTTAGGGGTGTGCTTAATTTCGGTGTTGGTGGTAATGAGCATGACGAATTCGATGATGATGAGTAAATTGCGATTGGTGTTGTTACCACTGTATCTACTAGACTTGCTGCTGACTCCTTACTATTTTTACCGCTATTCGTTACTAAAGTAGCGTTTACTGTACTTGACGCTGTGGTTGCTACTAATGTCGGTGCATTACTTGTATTTTCCGTTTTGCTGTTGGTATTTGCATTAGAGCTTGAACTGCTATTGGAGTTGTTACTTTTCTTCGAGCTTTTGCTTTGCGCTTGCGTATTCTCCGCACCGGCGGCGCTGCCGGACGTATGAATCCCGACCGATGCTGTGTGATGGTTGTTGTTATTGCTACCATGTCGCGATTGTTTACTCCGCGACCGACTGCCACTTGTGCTGCTGCTACCACCGGATGAACTGCTCCCAGCCGTTGTGCCTCCACTACTTTTGCTGCTTTTATGCCGTGGTGTTGCAGCATATGTAGATGATGTTGTCGATATGGATGATGAGGATGACGACGCATTTGATGATGTCGACATTATGCCAGATAGATCTGACGGTGAGCCAAGAATATCAGTTGGTGCTGTTGAGCCGGCAACATCTCGTAAACAGTCTTGACTATTATCATTCGATATTATATTGAACATTTCGTTAGATGTTGTTAGTGTCAGTTTGGATGAGATGGCTCCCCAGGCTGTGGGATGTTGCATTATCATATGATTACTGAAGCCAACCATAGTGTAAATACCGCGACAAATGCTGCAAACGATAACACCAGCCGATGCTTTCTTGGGTGCTATGCCATAATAATGCATATCATTGCCATTTAAACGCTGTACTTGGCGTATAGACCTGCCATTTTTACTATTAGATGAACTGCCCGACTTTGACGATTGGCTAGATGAATTAGATGAAGAACTCTTACTGGACGAGGATGTATCATTTTTGCTCCGATGATGTTGCTTCTCAGAAGTAGATGATCGCAATTGCTTTAGCATTTTATCGAAATCAAAGACTTGTTGCCACTTTTGTCCCTGGTGCTTTATTAATGAGTTTTCAGTATTTTTGCTTGTATTGCTAGAGGGCTGTGCCTCAGAGGGCGTACTACCACTTTTACTTGCTGCCATTTCTGCCGAGAAGTTCAATTTTCCGATGATTAACGATGTATTTTTTAAAATATTTTCTGTGTGTCCCGCTAGAAAGTCGTTACTATTGGGCATGACTTGAATATAACAGATTGGCTTTAAGGTTTATGCTAGGATTTGCGTTGATATAAGCCACCAAAACGTTCTTTGCATATAAATGCACATAAATATGTAGAAAGAATTTTATTTGGACCGAAGGATTTTACTCTAACCAAACGTTCGGGACCCAGATTTCTGTAAGATTGAAACTTTTTTTGAATATTCTAAAGTTAACAGTAAATTCGTTCATTGATTGTTTTGAAATAAAAAGAAAGTTTTGTTTTAAGTTGAAGTACATTCTACTCTATTATTATTAATATATTTACATACATGAGTACTCTAATTATCATATCGTTCTACATTAGAATCCGTAACTAAAATATAAATTGTGTACCTTACGAAGGAATTAATAAATTGATACTTCTAAAATAATACATCACTGGTTGCGAAAAAATAATGCCTAAAAGACAGCTGATTCTTTTGACAGCTGGCATCAATTTCTATATGTATCTCTTTTATTCACATTTTTAAGTTACACACAAACATGAACACATAAAAAACGAATTCGATGTCCAGAAATCATGACCATATAAATTATTTTATACACAAAAGAACTAGCCACATTTATGATCATGTAATTGTTAGTATGTAACTTATATTTCACAAGTAAAACGGATGTACCGAACGACTTTTCAATGGAATATATATAAACTCATACAAATTACTACGTTTTAAGCGATTCGGTTCTCAGAAATCACATACCGAAAACCTACGAAGTAGATCCTTCGATAATAATGCTTGAATAGAAAATAGTTTCTACGAAAAGGCGCGTGCGAAGTATTTATAACAGGAACAACTGCCCTTTACAGATCAAATCCATAGCTACAGGAATATATTTGTGCCGATTAATTGTAAATTTAAGAAATCAGCTCCGTCCGGAGCAGGTAGACACAGCAGAAAATTTTACACACTCGTTACTTTTATACGGTTACTTTATATTGACAATCCACGAAAGGGCTGAATATTTCAGAGATGTATTTCATTGAAAAATAATTTTTATTCTGAAGCAAGCTGGCTGAAAGATTTGGGGAGTTTGAAATCGAAATTTTTTAAATACTTGATTTCATACATAGGTATACATAAAAACGCTAAACTTGGATGGAATAGGGTTCAATTATGCATACCTTAGAAATTTCCATATTTTTTATAAAAATCTGAGTATTTGATTTTCATTGACCGAATGAAAGTAAACACAACTTTTGAATAATGAAAACTGCATTAATTAATTATTTATTGAAAAATTTATCGCTTTTTATAAGAATAAGTAAATAAGCATAAAAAATGTAATTTAATTAATTTTTAACACCATTTTAAAATTTGGTTATCGATAGACAATAGCAACATTCATTATCGATTTTTTGTATAACAAATTCATTTCATTTTGTAAAGAAAAAAATTTGTTTAGATAAGTTTTACAATAACTTCGCTGATTTTACTGTGAAAACTTGTTCATATGTTGAATTAAGACGTTCTGTTTTAAAAATATAGCTGAAATAGCTGGTTTTCATTTGTATGTTCTCTAAAAAATCTGAATAATCAAGAAAATAAAAGCTAATCAACTTAAAAACAGAAAACAAAAATATAGATTTAGAACAATATGGAAGATGAAACAAATTCAATGCCTCTTGCTATATCTCTTGAAGAGGTATCCTCTGAATTACCCACTGATAATAACGTTAATGATAAGGCGGTAACAATAGAAGCAAATGAAAGCGACAACGAATCCAACGAAAGTGATTGTGACGATAGTTATGAAAATAATGATGATAAGTATCAGGATACAGACTCAGAGAGCAGTTACCATTTTGAATATGCACCTGAAGTAGACAACTCATGCCTGGTTTTACCCAAGTTAGATTCCAAGAAAAATTCCTACATAAGAAATGCGAATCACATGTATGGCAAATATGTTACACGCCAGTGTCCGATGTGTGATTTTGAGTTTAGTTCAGCTTATTGTTGGAAAAAACATATTAATATCGTACACAATTTGGCGAAACCAGAAGACTTAAAGTTCAAATATAATGAGGTAGGCGCTAAATGTAAGTCGTGTGATTTTCAAACATCATCACCAGACTTCAACAAGTTACTCGATCATCAAATTTTACATATGCCCTTCAGTCAATTTTTGAAATGTAAATTATGCGATTGGAGAACTACAGCTCATCCTAGCATGAATTTCCACTTACGTCAGCAGCATTCAGACAAAATGGATATCAGTAAAAAAAGTATAGAGTTAACCATATGCCCATATTGTCAGGAAGAATTTTCGTCTCATTGGTATTTACGTAAACATATGATACAGGAACATGAAAGGACTATAAACGATAGGACATGTTTTATTTGCTTGGATTGTGGCGAAGAATTTTCCTCAAATACTATTTTACGGGCTCACGTTTTTGAAAAGTTTGCTGATAAAACTGTAGGCGAACTTGGCTTTCAGGAAGTAACAAACAAAGAAGATAATAATAAAGTCACTTACAAATGTACCCAATGTTTAGCAGTTTTTCGCAAAAGTACAAGTAGAACGTTTGCCAATATACGCGAACATTATATGTTACATTTAGGCGAACCAACTGGCAAACACGCCTACAAATGCCGATATTGCGAAGAAACATTTCGTAGATTTGATAATATACGCGTACATGTTTGTGAAGAATTACGCAAAATGCTGCAGAACGACCCGCAGGCAAAGATTAATCGAAGTCTAGAAAATAAGTTAGAAAAACGTAAGTTACTCATCAGTAATAATACTTAATTATGTAGATAGCAAAATTGTAATACATTTTTTTTATTATCAGATATTATACCGCAAGAACCTATTGAACGCAAAAGAGATTATATGAAATATATACGTCATGTCTGCTTGAAATGTGGAAGCACATATGGCAAGTTGTCGCAATGCAAAAAGCATATGATGGCGAAACATGGTATGAACAAACCAACGGGCTTGGATTTTAAAAAGATCGAAAGTAACAATGTGACCGATACATACGAATGTGCGATATGCGAAGAGTTCACATGTGTACTTGACTTGAGTTCGATGTTAATGCATGCGCGTATACATAACGTTTATGATCCTTTCCAATGTAAATTATGCAATACGTTTTTTGCCTACGAGCATAATATACCTGGTCATGAATGTGTTGAAGTAGATTATATGGACACAACACCAATAAATGGTAAGAATATAATTTTACACATATAACTAAAGTTTTTAAAATTCTCACGTTTTCAACAAGAAACTAGATATCCAAGAGAAGCGCCCATACCGAATATGGATACTTTTTGTCCCAAATGTGATCAAACATATACAAAGCCTTCTTCCTTAACGAGACATATGAATCGAATGCATGGTATGAATGAACCTTACGGTCTCGGCTTTGTGCAGTGCGAGCAAGGCGATGAAAGCACTGAAAACGCATATCGCTGTTATGAATGCGAAAATTTTATAATTACCGAGAAGAATTTGAGAGCTATGTTGGATCATGCAAGGCAACATTTACCCTACGAAAGTTTTCAATGTACTCTCTGTAAGGAGAAGTTTCGCATGAAAGAGCAAGCGAAAAAACATGAATGTCCAATCGATGATGCAGCTACTGTGCCTGATAAGTACAACTTGAAAATTTTAAACACACGTTTGCATAATAAAATGGGACGTATATGTCCGAAATGTGACAAAAAATTTGTAAAATCTGTTCGTAGTAGAGTACATGTAACTAAAATGCATGGTATGGATAAACCTGCTGGACTTGGATTTAAAACCATTAACAGCGATAATGGTAATAACAAAGTACTATATCAATGTATGCAGTGTAACGACTTTTATATGGAGAAGCTGGACTTCACAATTATGGCCGAGCATGCTCGAGAACATTTTCAATATAATAGTTTTTGGTGTATAATGTGCGACGAACAATTTAGATTCAAAGTACAAGCAGTAGCGCATAAATGTTTAAATGATCCCAATAGAGTTGAAGAAGATAATGAAGCTGAAGTTGAAAATAAAACATTTACAAAATACCCCAAAAACTTTGAGAAAATTATAAAGAAATTTTGTCCAGAATGTGACATTGAAATGCCCACAATAAAAGCCTTTCGTTGGCATTTGGGTAAATATCACGAAATGAACACGATGGAGGGGTTGCAAATGAAGCAAACAAAGGGTGATTTAGTAGAGTGTCTAATTTGCAAAGTACAAACTACACATATGCGACGTTACGATCACAGATTCCTACACTTACCTTTTAAACCTTACCAGTGTGAATTTTGTAAGGAATACTTTATTGAATTAGAAAAGGCTAAGTCTCATTGCGTAGAATGTGATCTGGTGCCAAAGAGATTTGAGGAAAGTAAAGAAGTGAAAAAACCGCAACAAGCTAAGAAGCGTACGGCTTTGTCTACGGAATATACTACTACTACTACTACGGCTAAAAAATCAAAAAAAGGGGAAAAGATTCCACAATTTGGCAGTGATGGGCAAGATTCAGCGAGCGAAAATGAAAACTCAAATAAAACGATTTCTGTAGTACTGGCTGATGATAATGATTTTTCGAAATTTGTTAAAATAACTTGCCCATTTTGTCCGGATACCGAATTCGAATCCCACCTCAAGCTAATACGCCACTTTAACGAAATACATAACAATTTTAGCGAACACTTTACTATACATCCAACCAATTCGGCAAATTGCAAAACATGCAATAAATATTTTAATATAATTTACAAAAAGACTATGGTAAAACATTATCTTAGCGAAATTGAAGCGAAATGCTTCTTCTGTCGTCTTTGCGACAAGAAGAGCTTATATTTTGAAAGAATGCGCACACATTTGTTGGATGGTCATAAAGCTGTTATAGCTGGTCAATCAAGCCAAGAGCAAAATAGCGCGAACAATGGGACAGATGTCGAAACAGACCCGCTGAAAATGACCGCTGTAGATATATCAAAGGTATCGCGTACCACAATGGCTATACCCACAAATAAAACAGCGGTTTTTAATGAATTTAACGCCTACATTTCATATTCATGCCCCGAGTGTAACGAACCATTCGTATCGTCGGAACAATGGCATTTACACATCAATACTGCGCACAGTTTCTTTGAGCAAAATCAATTGAACATCGAAGCCACACCGGATGGACATAAACGTTGCAAACAGTGTAGTGTCAATATATCCGGTGGCATATTGGCGGAACAGCGACACAAGTTGACGCATATGGAATTTAAATCATTCATTTGCACACTCTGCCAACATCGTTCAAACACTTTGGGTGTACTCACGCAACATTTACGCAGGCGTCACTTTGCTAAGGGTACCTTCAAGTGTCCCATGTGCACAAAAGTGCTCAGTACGTCATGTGAACGAAGTGAACATATTAAGAGCGAACATGATCCCAGTGAATATCCTGAAAAATTATGTCGCGTTTGCTTGAAATTGTTTACATCTAACAAGTCATTGAATATTCACATGGACGTGCATGATCCCAATCGAAAAGTTTTCCCATGCGACTATTGCGAACGCAGTTATATGTACAATAGGGAATTGGTTCTACATGTACGCGCTAAACATCCCAAAGAAGCGAAAGCGAAGTGATAAATAATTAAGTTTTAATTACATGCTAATATCCAATTCAAGCAGTGGGCACCAGATGAGGCGAATATTTTTTCTTGATTTGATTTTAAGCCAAGGTTGAAGAAATTACGTTAAGTCAACAATAGAACATAGAAAGTATTTATAATGAAAAATGTATTTAACTTAAGCTTTCATTTATGGCTACTTGGTTTTAATTTTTTCCTACTGACTTGCCAACTATGAAATACAAAAAAAAAAGAAAAATGCGTAGGAATATGCAGTAATTCGAAATGAGTATAAACTTTTTATAAATGCGATCTCTGTTTGCTTTTAATTTTTTGAAAATTATTTTGAGATATGAAATGTATTACCAAAAAAAAAAGTTATAAAAATGAAGTTTTATTTTCATGCAAATTCAAACTCTAAGTTTTGTTAAAATTATTTCTTTATTAAGTCAGATATGCGTAAATTTGTAACAATGGATTTAAATAACAACAAAGAAAGCAAAAATCAACTGCTATACATTTTAAATATTTTTTTCAAAGTCGTTTATAATTCTATTAAGAAAAAAAAGAATTAATTTTTTTCTTTTAATGTATATTTAAAAATTTCCATATATTACTTTTGGTTTTGGAACTATTTACATTTGATTAAAAGAATTTTTTCTAATTGAAGCAATCATTGAAGAATTAAACGAAATGAATTATTTCTTTTATGATTTTAGAATTTCGTACATATACATATGTAACTGGTGCGCCAGAAAATGCATTTTCGATTTTAATTTTTTTCAATAATTTAATATTTAATATTTTTTTAGAGTCCAAAGCGGGTTAATAATTCAACCCTGAATATGAATTAAAGGCGAATAATGTGTTTTTATTCTGGAAAAATAAAGTGAAATTGTAATACAACAATAACAAAAAAGTTGTAAATTAAGTTTAGCAGCGTAAGTTTTTTCCTGTAAAAATATATTTTATCTGAAATTTATTTGTCTATAAATTGCACTACGTGCTGGTTCATCTTATTATATTATATATATATATGATATATACATATGTACATACATAATTGGTGCTTTGTAGCCCGCTGAGCTTCTCCACCAATTTGTGATTTTTCGTCTTGAGTTTTAATGATTTTCCAACGAATGGAGGGACCTACAGATTAGTCCGAGCCGCCTCCGAACAGCTGGAGGCTTTTTATGAAGAGTTTTTTTATTTCGTTGTCAGAAATATACTCATTCCCTGCCTACCGGCGACCACAATTAGAAAAATTAACTTAATTTTTGTATTTGTAGTAATTTTCTGTAAATTTGAATGTTGGTCACACGGGGACTTGAACCCGAGCATTGCGAATGGCCACCACTGTTGTTGTTGTTGTTGTTGTTGTAGTGGATTCGCTAACCCCGCTTAGGCACAGGCTTGAATTAGTCTAAGTCGTCGAGGTCATCTAAAGGTAGGCCCAGGAAACGAGCTGTTTCGACGGGGTTGGACCAAAGGGAGAGGGGAGGGGGCATGTGAAGAGGTGGTTAGTGTCGTGCGGGGACTCTCCACATGCCGGGCATACGTTAGGTATGCTGGGGTCTAGTCTGGATAGGTAGGAGTTTAACCTGCTACAATATCCAGACCTAAGTTGTGTCAGGGTCACGCGGGTCTCTCGAGGCAGCTCGAGCTCGTTGTCTGCTATGGGTGGTGGTATTTCTCCGAGTACGCCATTCACTGGAAGGGAGTTCATGAAGATGTTAACTGACTCCTGGTGAATGGCGTTCAGTGCTTGTCGGTTGTTGTGTGTGTTGCAATGGCCACCACTCGGTTATCACGGTTATCACTTTACTTTAAATGAGTAATTATCTTTTGAAAATCGTGTTTAATATTTCGAAAGGGAAGGAATGCATTGGATAAATGTGAGTGTAAATGTGAATGGAATTTGTGTGAGAATATAGCCGAGTCAACAATAGCAAGTTAGTCGTTCCACTTGATCTTTGCAACTCTTCAAAAGATGTTTTTTCTTGCTCTGTTTCTGCCAGCGGGTAGCACATCAAATACATTCAAAGCTAGACAACGCAGCAACTGTTGGAAGGAACAATTCCCAGCTGGTTTTTTAGTACGAAATTGTGATGATGCTAACTCCTAGATAAACGAATTTCTTTACAGGTTCATTTCCTTCTGAATAAAGTTGAAAAGCTTCAAAGGTCCTTCCCGATTCTTTTGCGGCTTTTGGGGTTTCTCCGATTCAGCATGTACTGCTGTATAATGTCCGTGTTGATATTAATTAGATTTGACGCCGGTGGGCTTTAATCTTTCACTCCACATGCTAAAAAAGACCTTACATGTGATATTGAGTCATCCTGGGGCAAACTGTGGGGTCACACTTCTTATGAGTCGGACAGTTCACACCCAAGATTCAATAGTAGGGCATTTGAATAACCCAGTCGGAAAGCAGTGGTGGGCACATTAGCGGAGTGTTTAGCATGCGATGTGTTATGGGTCCGAGTGCAGAGAAATAACCAAAATTATAGAGATGTCAAGCTCTACAAGTTTCTCACGAAAATCCATCAGTCGCTCGTAGGCGCCTAGGAATAATCTTTATATCTATATATATAATTGTAACCCCTGAAGCAATTACAGTTTATACTGAGCCGCCTGCGAACGGCTGATGTCTTTTTTATAATCTATAGACCTCTGTATTTATTTGAACTGGGCGAAAACTGCTTCAGCGGTTATAAAACGCAAATTACGTATATGCACAAAAAGCTTTTTTATGCTTCAAACGGCCAATCCTAATTTGAGCTTCGTCCTAGTCGAGCGACCGAACGAAATGAAATATTTTTTCAGCTACCCATTAATGAGCTGTTGTCAACTGCTCTATGAGAGTAGGTGTATAAGTCCATTAGAAACCTGAGGAATCCTAAATATCGGCGGGGTTGAAGAGTTAGACTATGAACTACATGAGTGGTCGACCGTTATTCTAAAAGTTTCCGTCTTAAAATTCTAAACTCCCTAAAAAAAGAAGTTCCGCAGGGTAGCGAATTCTCTCCACTTCTGTTTCGTATTTACATTTCCAAGCTCCCTCCACCATCAGAGCGTGTTTCTTTAATCTGCCGATGATAGCTCGATATTGGGGTCTGGCCAGCATATTTATAATATCTGCTCGAAGTCAACTACTATCTTGCCCACCTTTTCTGATTCTTCACTGCACGACATCTACACGTACCTATCAGCGAAATCCTCGGCCATCATTTTCACCAGCTGGACAAAGGAGTACCGGCTCGAACTTGATGGGAAAGTACGACAATAACGAACTCAACTCTATTGGGGCAATTGCGATTGCCTAAAAAATACAGAGCCGCCGTAAAGCTCTTAAGTCGATAGCCGACGGCATCTGGAGAAAATACCAAAATACGCTTTTTTCAAGATACAAGACAATCGGCAGATCGGTCGCCATTCCGCTGGGAAGTAACGAAACGCAGATAAATGGCAAAAAACCGTGACAGGAAACCTCCTGATGACATTTCTGCTCTTCGAAGAATGAGCATAATGTTATGCTGTGTTAGCAATATCTTCTAGAATATTATGCAGAAGTCGGAATACCCTAAAAGCAGCTACTTGAAACAAAACCACCACATAGGCTCGTCGAGGACTTGACTATAACGCTCCCATAAAGCAATTTAGCTAACCACCGCTAGACAGGCTTTAAACGCCTTTCAGCGAGAGTTCGTCAAAACCTACGTGTTCCCGCAAATGGCATTCTCGGAATTCAAGTACTGCCCATTGCAAACCAAAAGCTCAAACTGTCTCGAAAGACGCCCGTAAAACTGGCATAACTTAGATCTAGATTTGTAGTCGACTTAATTCCTATGTTTTCAAACTTGTCTCCGACATACCGAACGTATGCCATGTACTGCATGTAAAGATACCTCGCACGACACTAACCACCAACCAGCTCATCCAACCACTCTTTGGCCCAAACCCAACGAAACTGCCCGTTTCATGGATTCACCGTTAGATGACCTTAGTGACTAAGGCTAGTTCCGCCTTCTCTTAGGTGGGTAACCCCGCAAGTCGCTACAAAAATCGTATTATTTAGAAATATATATACTGAATATCCCACACAAGTGGCACAAGGTAATTACTTGAAGACGATCCCTGTCAGGAGGATTGTACTGTATTGTAATGTTCGACTAAAAGAGAAACACGCGAAAATGGTTGGATTAACCGATACAGCCACTTTTAAAATTCTCCACAATCATCTTGGCATGACTAAGGTCTGCTATAACAGCAGCACGCAGAGAGTTCACGTGCTTTTTTGGACATCTGTTATGCGGAGAAGGATAGAGTATTGAGTCAATCTGTTACTGGAGACGAAGCTTGGGCTTATCATTATGAACCTCAGTTGGCACAGTTGCATAAAGAAGACACAGGACCTCCCAAGAATTCTAAGGTGTCGCAGACAGCTGGTTAACTCATGGCAGCCAACTTTTTGGAATCTAAGAAAATATAATTGATCGATTTAAGGATAAAGGCGTTTTTTAAGCTGGAAAAACCCACGCTTATTCCTAACTTAGAGCGCCTAAAATAGTTATTAAAGAGAAATGACTGAGAAAATTGACGAAAGGTGCGCTGCTTTGCACGCCAACGTGAACTAGAGAACTTGAACCTCCACAAACGTCGCGTTGCGTTGGCTGCCCTGCATAAGGTGGGTTTGTTTGCTATTTTGAATGATCCACTCTGCCACAGACCTGGGGCCGAGTTATTATTACCTGTTTTCAAAAATAGCAAAAAAGGCTTGAGTGTGATGAAGTCAACGAGACAGTTTCGGCATATTTTGAAGATGAAGGGAACCCATTTTTATGGGCGTAAAAATAGATGAATTGAAAGATCTGAAAGATATATTCGTCTTGCAGGTGAATATATTGAAAATGAAAATTAATTTCAATTTTTATTTCCAGTCCACATTCCGCGAACATAAAAACGCTCTCCCCTATGCAAGTACAGAGAAAGAAGCCCACACCTTATTGGCAATAAATGCACAAGTAACCAACCGACAGACTCTTCATTATATTTTTCAGTGGTTGATAGCTACTCTGTTTGCTAATCTGCACTGCTGGCATGTATGCATGTGTGAATGAATGGTTGTTGGTGTGCGTGCGACTCTTTTCGCTTTGGCGAATTGCTGCCATCACCTACCTGCCTGGTTTTTTCGCTGCCACTTCGGAAGCACGACAACAAACATTCTTACCAAGCTGACATGAATAGCAGCGCGATGCGGAGCACTAAAACGTCCAGCCAACGAAGTCAATAGAAAATTATTAGATGCAGAGAAAAGAAAAAGTGAAATCACATGTGCACATAAATACAT